TTTTTTTTCCTTTGGTGAGCTTAACAACCTATGCTTTGGTGCCAATCATCTTACTCGAATTCATATTTAAACCAGAACTGTTGGGAAATAGTTTACTTTAATGCCACTAGTCTATTTTAGCTGCTTGAGCCAAAAATCTGCTTTCTAAGGAGATTGCTGCTCAATGAAGTCATTCATTTCTTTAAGAAATATTTATTGAGCACCTACCATGTGCCAGGAAGTTCTCTGGGCACTGAGGATGCATCAGTGAACAAGAAGGCAAGGTCCAGCTCTTCACAGAGCCACATTTCAGAAGATGTAATGTATTTATTTGATAGACACTTTCTAAGTATCTAAGAAAGAGGACTTATACAGGGCAATGGGGATTCAATAATAAAAGATGGCTCTTGTGCCCACTGAGTTCCTAATCTAGGGGCAACAGGAAGAAGAAATTAAATAATAGAACAGTATAATAGAGATATGCATGTGTGCTATAAGAATATAGGCATGGGGCAAATTAAGGCATATACGAAGAGAGGTGACAGAGAGAGCTCATGGGTAGCTTGTGTGTCCCATTCTGACTTGCTGTGCAACTTTGATCATTTCTCTAAACCCTATGCATTTTATTACCTTACTAGAGGCCTAGTGCACAAAAATGTGTGCACTCGGGGTGGGGATGGGGTGTCCCCTCAGCTCAGCCTGTGCCCTCTTGCAGCCTGGGACCCCTCGGGGGATGTCCACCTGCTGGCTTAGGCCTGCTCCCCGGGGGATTGGGCCTAAGCTGGCAATTAGACATCCCTCTGGCAGCCCAGGAGTCCTCAGGGGATGTCCACTTGCCAGCGGGGAGCAGGCCTAAGTTGCAGTCGGACATCCTTAGGACTGCTGACGAGGTGGGAGAGGCTCCTGCCACCACCACTGTACTAGCAGCCATCAGCCTGGCTTGTGGCTGAGCAGAGCTCTCTCTGTGGGAGTGCACTGACCACCAGGGGGCAGCTCCTGCATTGAGCATCTACCCCCTGGTGGTCAGTGTGTGTCATAGTGACCAGTGATTCCAGTAGTTCTGCTGCTTGGGTCAATTTGCATATTACCCTTTTATTATGTAGGATTTCTCCTACATAATTCAAAAACCTTTGTAATTGAACACCAGCAATCAATAGCACCTATGAAACACTGATGCTTTTTTACCAAAAGAGAAGTGATCCTTAAAAGTTCAAGCCCCTGCCCTGGCTGGTTTTGCTCAGTGGATAGAGCGTTGGCCTTCAGACTGAAGGGTCCCAGGTTTGATTCTGGTCAAGGACATGTACCTTGGTTGTGGGCACACCCCCGGTGGGGGTATGCAGGAGGCAGCTGATCAATGTTTCTCTCATCATCAATGTTTCTGACTCTCTATCCCTCTCACTTCCTCCCTGTAAAAAAAAAAAAATCAATAAAATGAAAAAAAGTTCACTCCCCTCTTTAGCAACGAGGATGGATAAAACATTTATTCATCACTGAAATGCATGCTACTCTGAATTCTCTGAGGCAAATGTGATAAATACTGCTTTAGCATATTTCTAACATCAAGAATACAGATATTCTTTCCTTTCATCTTATATTGTTTCTCTGAAAACCCTTATAAGGATTTAAGAATCATTATCTTTTTAGTGCTGCTTTCTAATCACCCTGCTATTGTGGTCATTAAAAATAGCTGAAATATTTTAAAATATTTTAATCAAAGGCATTTTCATCCCTTGAAAACCACAAGATGGGTGTCATTAGGGACAGTTATCCATGAAAAGACAGGGGAGTTAGATATTTTTTTCTCCATTATGATACCGACAAAACAAAAGCAAGTGAGCTGAATCCACATGTGTTATTTGAAGTACACATGACTTCTGATAGTTTCCCAGTCATAATTTGAGAATTAATGGTTGACAATATTATGGCAGTTGCTTGAGCTAAAAACATGCCTAGTAACAATCTCATTATTGCCAATTCAAGCATTGTGTTTTTGGAATTCCTTACTTCAACTTTTCCCATGGCCCCGAAATTCCATTTGCTAAATTGATTTGACACTAACTCTACTTTCTTGCAAAAATGAAGTCAAGTGATTTTAACATTATTAATTAATTGTTCTTAATCAAGTCTGTGTAGGAATTGTTATGCATTTCTAGAAATTATAGTAGTACTGTTTGACCTATTTTATTTGAAGGTATACTTTTTGAAGGGGTGGTTTGCTGCAAGGATATACTCTGTCATTTAAATTGCTAATTGTACTTTTAATCCTGTTTCATCTCTTCCCCTTAGGATAATTTAAGTACTATTGGAACTGCGGCTCTTAAAAGGAAATGATTTTCAAAGAGATGGTTAGAAGCAAAAAAGCAGGCCTTGGCAGTAACCACACATAGAGAAAGGGCACACCAGCTCTAGGCAGACACATTGCCGGAGTGAGGCCCATTACAAGCCTGGTAGCTGAACACTCAGAAAGTCAAAGATGCCTCAGGCACCGTATAAACCACAATTATGGATTGACCTCTAATTTGGGCCTAACAAATATAATTATGAGTTGTAGGGGGGAGAAAGAAATGCGAAATCATGGTGCTAGAGAATTTTAATTTCTATATTTGATATCTTTATGTAAATTTGTAGTATTTAATAGATAGTAATGAGAATTAATTTAGTGTATAGTAAAGTCAAAATGTTTACCCAAATGAAGCAATCAGTGATCATCTAATTCCAGGGTTAAATTGCACAAGTTATGTAACTCTCCTGGTATATATTGTTTGTTATTCATGATCCTCAAAGGTCCACGTTTAAAACTTTAACCTACTTTTATTAGCTAGCATCGTAACAAGCTCTAGGAGAGTGGCCTGGCTGAGATCAAAGAGAAGCCACCCTTTAAGGACCACCAGCCATTTCATTTGAGGTGCAACTCAGGCCATTTACGTATGTACTAGTATGTGCACTCTGTGCTTGCACTCAGTACTACAAAACCCACTGATGTCTAGGTGAAGCACACATTACTGTGGTAGGACAGCAACATGGGTCCAGATTATGTCCTGAAAATTTCCTTCCTCCATGTACAACTTATCTTTTCACTTTCATCCCTAAGCCGTGCTTTCCGTGCTCAGGTCTTTCATTATGATTCCAATGAAACAGGTTCTCTTGAGAGGAGTAAGAGAACTGAACACTTACTGCTTCTGATGTGTGTATCCTATGATACTATCACTCAAGGTTCAAAAGGAATGGTCTTTAAGGATAAAGCTGGCATAATCCGACCTGCCCTCACTACTCATCTGTTGGCTTAATTAAATCCTGGCTTTAGCAAAATGCTTGGGAGACAGAACAGCTTATGGAAGATAATCCGTTATGACAAAAGCTCACAAGCTGGACTCAAGGCAGATGTTACATTTGCTTTTTCAATCAATGTGCAGTCTGAGGAGGGCCTCTTGCTTTACGCATGAAATGAGTGGGGGCACAGCTGCTGGGGTAAAGGAGACGCTGTGTTATTGCTTCCCCACGGTGCTAGAGTCTCTGGAAATTGCACTTTCGGTGTCTACACACAACACTCTCACAGTTGAAAGGGTTTATGCACACACCCTGTGGCAAATCATATTCTAATTAAGCCACTTCACATCTGTGAGTGAGAAATTTTTAAAGGGCCAAAATTGCTTTGTATTTCAATTAGAGCTATGGGAGTGTTTGGTCCTTTTCAGATGCAGTTGAGGAATTATTTAATTACTGGTGTTAGAAGTTATGCTGTTGTTTGATTTATGTAATTCTTGTTTAAAGGGCTCGATGTTCTTGTCTTGCAGGCACTTCTCATGTCTGTCTTCTAAATACACGTGCCCTGGCGTCCCTGCCATCATGAGCACCTTGCTGGCGAATATAAATGCTTTCTATGCTCACACGACAGTTTCAACAAATGTGCAGGTTTCTGCCTCAGATCGATTTGCCGCTACCAATTTTGGTGTAAGTGTTGTTTTGTTAATTATAAAATTTCTAGTAGCCTATGGGAGATACATATTAAAGGGGCATTGGACTCCAGATATTCTTGGAATCTCATTGCAGAAGGTGAATCTTAGGGAATATCAATTACTATAATTGGGCTAAAGCTAAAAGTCCATCTGAAACACATTCAGTGAAATAATTTTGACACTCAGTAAGCATCTTCATGAGATGAAATCTCCACATCTGGAATGACCTTTCCAATTGGGGGAACATACATTTTGTGAGCGTATTGGTATTTTGTAAGAAATTCTCCATGTATGCAAATTGGTATTCACCATCGCAGACACTTTTCCCTGGTAAATGTGAGAGCTTGGGTGACTTCTCTATTAGCCTTCATTTATACTTTCTGTTGGTTTCTACTGGTACTGATGGATAACAGCATATCTTCTAAGTAAAAAAAGAATAATAATCCTATATAACAAAAGCATAGTATGCAAATTGTCCCCTCAACTGGAGTTCTTCTGGGAGTTTGACAAGGGGAAGGGAGGGAGGCCCCGGCTGGCAGCCAGCAGCCAGCAGCCAGCAGCTGCTAGGGACCCTACCAGTGCACAAATTTCGTGCACTGAGCATCTGGTAGATGTATAAAGAGTCTAACAGAACTACCTGTATCTAATTAAGATTGTCCACATGAAGTATTCAAATGCATCAAAAACGCATTGAAAAGTAAAAATGCAGGGATCCTGTGGAATCTCAATTATCACCTACTGCCCCTGTCACCGTAGCTCATTCCCCATACGCAATAAATTAAATTGAGCCCAGCCAATGTGGCTCAGTAGTTGAGTATTGACCCAAGAACCAAGAGATCCCCTGTTTAATTCCTGGTCAGCAGCCAATGAATGTTTCTATCTGTCATCGATGTTTCTATCTTTCTATCCTTCTCCCTTCCCCTCTCTCAAATCAATAAAAACATATTTTCATCAATAAAAACATAATTTCAAAAAATTGAAATTGACAAAACGGGAAATAGGATATAAATTAACTAATCTTAGTAAAGTGGTAAAGATCTAAACTAAGAATAAGTGGAGATCAAGAAGGAAGAACAAATTTCAGAGCTTTTCAGGGTATAAAATCAACCTCATTAAGTATCTTTAAGGATGTGGACAGTGAGGGAAATGGAAAAATGCCTGGAAAGATTCCCAAGGTTTTGGCCAGGGCACCTGGGTAGTCCAGTAGCTCTGTTCAATATGCCTGAGAGACAGGTATTTTTCCATGAGACTGCAGTTACATTTCCCACTGAACTTCCAAATTGGTTCACTGAATAGAATTTGTGATTGATTGTGGTGTTAAAAATCAAATTTAGAACATTATGTGTCATAGAGTAGAAACAAATGAAACCAGCAAATAAAAGGGTGTAAAGCCAGGGGAGGGGCGGGGGAATGTGCTGCTGTATTTACTATTTTCTTATCTTTTCCATCTAAAAGAAAATGCATGTGAGTGGGTAAGATGAGGTGGAATGAATCAAAGGAAAAAGTGATTGTTATTTAATGACAAATCAAAATAAACACTAGTAGAAGAAAATTAATAAGTCAGTTCAGTCATTTAAATCTGTTTCTCAATCTGCTCTATGTGGACAAGAATTATTTCTTTAACATGTTTCTCAAATTAAAATGAGGAAGAGGTGGTAAGCCAGTTTGTAAACATTGAAAGTACTCTATGTAATAAGATATGAAAATTTCATTTCTCCTGCCCTATCTATAGTCTAAACCAAGCATGTCAAACTCATGGCCTGCAGCCCACAACAAATATTTTTGCAGCTCAGCCAATATAATGGTATGT